GAGGATGTCGACGTCGCGTATCCACTTCGGTCGACGGGATGTCTAGGATCTCTAGGAATTGCGAGTTCTGGTCGGTCGTGCGCCTGAGAGGCGCTTCCCGATCAATCTCTCCCGATATTAATTTTCTGTCGGCTTTTATACAAAATTATAACAAACAGTTTCGACTGTTTGTTGACATTGCGGTTATTCCGCGCGCGGTTGTTCGGCGTTTTGTTATTCTTTGTTTCCGGTTGTCGTGACGCTTTCCGGATCGTCACATCACTCCCCCCTCTTTGTAGTGCCTGTCCCGGGCACTCGCAACTTAAATCTAACTAATACTACTATAACGACCTATAACTCTACTTACTCTATTTATTACTATTTTACCCGTCACCAATGTTATTTTATTTAAATTTTAACTGAACTTATTCCTAATAACGATCTTATTCCCTATGGTTTGTATTATTTAATCTATCTAACTTTGTATGCGAGTTTAAGCTCGGCTGTTTCCGAAAATTTGAACCTCCACAATTCTCCGTCGACGTACCGTCGGTACTTGCGGGTTATGTGTGCCGCATAGTACGGCACGTCGACGGTACGCCCCCTGGAGATCTGGACGCGGATTGGTGCCGGTTGCGATTCGCGGGTTTTTAGTATGATCTTGGTTTTTACCGGTTCGTCTGTCCGAATTCTTATCGTCGGTCGTGCTCTGGGTAGGTTTGGTTGCCCCTCCGCCTTGGCTGCTGTCGGCGATGGTAGACCTGCTCGCGTTGTGGTGCTTCCAGGTGTTGACGTTAGATGTTGGTTTGTTCCCCATGTCAGAGGTCTAACCCTTGGTCTGTGCTTTCGGACTGGTTCTTGTTCCAGGTTCATAAGCGCTCGAAGTTTTTCCTCGGCTTTCCTGGCTGTCGGTGGTATCTTGGTGCAGGCTATGGCCGGTTTTCTCCGTGGTTTGTCTACTGGTGGTTTTTTCCCCGGTGGTAGTTTTATCCTTGCCGCTCGATCTAGTTCCTCTGTTTTTTGGTTTCCGCTTTCGGTTTTGCTCAACGAGTCCCACAGGGCCTGAGCCTCTGCCTCGTTCCACGTTGTTAGTAATTCTTCTATCGCTTTATCCACGTCCATGGTAGTTTGACGTGTGTGCCTCCGTATTGTGGTTCTGTTTCTTTTAACCTGTTTTCCTTTGTTCTTCGGTGCGATGCCCTGTTTCTGTGTTTGTTTTGACTGTGTTGTACTTGTCCTTAATGTGTCGGGCCATAGGCGACTCGGGTAATGTTCACGATTTTCGGGCAATCTTTCCTTTGCTGGTTGCCAGCCTTCGAGCCAATTTTTCAGTTCCTGGTTGAATTTCATTTTTCGACTGCTTCTTCCGGTGCTGCTGACTTGCTGGCTCTCGTTGTAGTGTCCTGATTATGCTTGGCTTGCTCTTTTAGTACTCTAATTCCCTCCTCGGATCTCTTGATTATCTGGTTGGAG